TTATAGTTTTCGAAATATGCGACGTTTCTTTTGCGGTTCAGTATATATGCAATATCTCAGTGTTCACTTTAGCAAACCTTACGAACTCTATCTCAATATCAGAAAGTTGGTTTATAAAGTAAATCTAACACTATCTTTAATAGGTGTGTATACAGTACTACAAAGTTTCTCTTAGTTTCAGTAAACTGAGCCATATAGTAACTCTAAAACTATCTTTTCGAGGAGTATATTCTGTGCTACAAGGTCTCTGTTAGTGTCAGTAAGCTGGTTTTTAAAGTAAAACTAACACTATCTTTACTAGATTTCTATTCTGTGCTACATAGTATCTATTAGTGTTAGTAAGCTAGTTCATAAGGTAAATCTAACGCTCTCTTAACTACGTGTCTGTTCAGTGCTACCAGGTTTCTCAAGGTGGATTTAAAAGTAAATCTAACACTGTCTTTACTAAATGTGTATTCAGTGCTACAAGCTTTCTGTTAGTGTCAGTAAAATAGTTCATAGAGTAAATCAAACACTATCTTTAGAAAGTGTTTATTCAGTACTACAAGGTTTCTGTTAGTGTCATTAAACTCGTTTTCAAAGTAAAATCTCACAATATCTTCACTAGTGCTACATGGTTTCTGTTAGCGTCAGTAATCTAGTTTCTAAAGTAAACCTAACATTATCTTTATTAGGTGTCTATTCAGTACTACAAGTTTTCTCTTAGTTTCAGTAAACTGGTCCATAGAGGAAATCGAAAACTATCTTTACGAGGAGTCTGTTCAGTGCTATAGGGTTTCTGTTAGTTTCACTAAGTAAATCTAACATTATATTTACTAGCTGTTTAATCAGCACCACAAGGTTTCTGTCAGCGTCAATAAACTGGTTCATAAAGTAAATCTAATATTATCTTTACTAGCTGTTTAATCAGCACTACAAGGTTTCTGTTAGCGTCAATAAACTGGTTCATAAAGTAAATCTAACACTATCTTTACTAGGTGTTTAATCAGCACTACGAGGTTTCTGTTAGCGTCAGTAAACTGGTTTATAAAGTAAATCTAACACCATCTTTACTAGGTGTCTATTCAGTGCTACAAGTGAACTTTAACCTGAGCCGACATATGGGATATTTCCTCATTCAAGTTTATGTTCCGTGTATACTTATTGTTGTGTTATCCTGGGTATCGTTTTGGATCAACCGAGAGGCCACTGCTGATCGTGTAGGCTTAGGTATGATGATTTCATTGTATTGCATTTTCCTTTTAACTGCACTGTTGTGTTTTGCATTTTGAGTATTGATGTATAAAATTACTTAGTAATATCTTCATAACATAAATAATAATATTTCTGATTGTGACAACTTTTTCAATAATAATCTTTAATGATAATCGTTCCAACTGCATAGTGTGATTGAAATGACATATCTGGTGTTAATAATTGAGTAAAATTTGCTTCAATCTTTCATATCATAACCTACATAATAAAATGTCGGTCACCAGATTAACTTACTGTACTATAGCCTTCACAGTTATATGGTGATTAAGATTGTGAGATTTTTCCTACGTCATTAAGTGTTTTATAGGAAAGAATATTATTATATTGTGATACCACATTGATATTTTGATGTCAGTTTTGTTTGGAATTAAGCACAAAGCTACACAATGGGCTATATGTGCTCTGCCCACCACGGCTATCGAAACCTGGTTTCTAGCGTTGTAAGTCCGCAGACATACCGCTGTGCCACTGGGGGGGGGGGGGGTATTTCTTGTTTCTTGGAAGTAAAATATTTGTGTAAAACCTGGTTACTCATTGAATCATACTTTGTGCGGAGCCCATGATTTGTCTTGGTCCCCAAGTTATATTCCAAAATACGCATAACACGCTTGTTTGACAAATTTTGAAATGTTTTGCCTTTG